CTTCAGGAGGTGATGTGACTTGCTGGTAGTAAGGATCAAAGTGGGGGATTAAAACCTTGGCCTTCCTGATAGTGCCCAGCACTTTAGCATTCTGCCATTGGATAAATAAACGGTGACTTGCTGATCTGAGCACTTAGTAAAATCTTTCTTTCACTTCCTCAAAGATTGTCCTCATATTTTTATTCTATTTCCTGACCATTCATTGCTCTTCTTTCTTGTTTCTAGTGGAGACGATCTTAGGCCTTACTGGTGCTACAATGGGAAGTCTCATCTGCTTCATCTGCCCTGCTCTTATTTATAAGAAAATCCATAAGAATGCCCTTTCTTCACAGGTCAGTGGTGTTAATTGGCTAACTTCTCTACTCCACAATACAAGGAGAATAATGGATTTATCCTCAGCAGGGATATAAGACCTAGGACCCATGTGGATGTTACAACAGGAAACGTCTTAGTTGAAGAAGTAGTGATGGTCTCCCTGCTTAATGATTGTGACCAGGCTCCTTGATATGCTTTTGGAAAGCTTTACTTCTTATCTCCCTAACAGAAAATGGAGTGTTGGTGTTACAAGGGGAGTATTTCCCAACAGTCCATTCCATTTCAGTGAGCTCAGGTTCTGTTCCCACAGAATGGGAAACAGAGACCTGTTGGTACAAATCCAGCAGCCTGTTGACTTCAACCTGTCTGAACTGTGCCAGAAAAACCATACTTTTTAGCTATGCAAAATTGCTCTTGGACCATGATCCCTAAGAATAGCCATAATTTTATATACCCCAGTCTCTTATCAAAAGTATCTTGTAAAACACATAGGATAGTGCCTGGCACTGGGTTATATAAGTAAAGGTTATATAAATATTGTTGTTGTTGTTATCATTATTGCCATTTCTGCCTCCACAACTTCTTTCGTTTGACCCTTTCTTTCTCAGCCTCCCTTTAGTTCAGGTCCTTATCTCTTCTCACCTCTATTATTGCAATGGCTTTCTAATTATTCTTCCAGCTTCAGCTTCTGACTATGTATATAAATGCACATGGCTGGAGGAAAGACAGAGCTGTTTTAATATTCTTTTAAGTCTTTTATTCTTAAAAAAGATGAGAGAGATGGTTAGTTCTGTTTTTATTGTTTTTTGATAGAGACTTGAGTGATTTTGCTGTATATCCTATGTACCCGCATACCTTTGATCTTTTTCATTGGATTAGCTATATTATCTTTGGTTTTGACTGAAGCAGAAAGTCTTCAGCCTCTTACCTCAGTTTACATTGTACTTGTCTGTGGCTCTTAACATTACTTTTTAGTACTGCTATTGTGGAGCCAGCCTGTGGAGTGTAAAGTATTTTTAATAGGTCCTGTAAAAAAAAAAACGGGGTATCTACACTCTTTCTGTATTTTTAGTAGTATACATGGTAAATTGCATAAGAAATAAATATTTGTCATCATTTTCACAAATCAGTCTAGATTACCCACCATTGGTCTATGTTCCAACAGTCCAGTGCTTTTACCCAGGCTCTTGGCACAGTCTTGAGTGGTAAACTAGATTTTCAGTGGAAACAAATAACACCCGTCAAAAATTATTCAGGCTCAGCAGAAATATTCTTTGTGATAAAGTTAAATTACCATCCCAACAAGATGAGCCAGCAGGCTGTTGGCTTGAAGGTAGTTGTCAACTGTCATCACAGATTTCCATGTGACCTGAAAAGTTGGTCACAAGGACAAGAAAGTAAACAATGCATGTAATTTTAAAAAATATATATTTTTACGTGCATTTAAAAATCTGTCCATCCCACTACCCCCTTTCCCATTGAATTAAAAAAGAAAAAAAGAAAACCCTTCTCATAAGCAAGCATTACCCAACAAAACAAATTCTTTTGTTGGTCATGCCTGAAAGTGTATATCTCTTTCTGTTATTTTAAGTTTATCACTTCTCTGGGAGGAAGTAAGTGGGGTGTGAGAAAAACATTTCTAACCGGATGATGACTCGTGTGGAAAAAGTAGGCAGTTTGGTTTCTTGATAGTTTTATAGTGTTTCCAGCAAAAGGATGGTTATATTGATTATATAATCAATTAATATTAATTGAATGTACCTAGAAAACATGGCATCATATTTAAAAAAAAATTTTTTTTTGATAAACCAAGATCGACTTTCTCACTCTTCCCTTTCCCTTCTCCCTTTACCCCTTCCCCACTGAAAACATACGAAAAACAAAACCCATTACAAATGCATAGTCAGCCAAAAAAAATTTCCACATTAATTATGTCCAATAAGATATTTGTCTCATTATGAACTCTGAGTGCTTCACCGCTTGATATATCAGGAGGTGGCATCTTGTTTCAACACAATAGTATTCCATTTATATACCATATTTATTTATGGTATATATATTATATACATTTATATACCGTAACTTGTTCATCCATTCTCCCAATTTATGACACGCCCTCAGATTCCTATTCTTTGCTACCTCAAAAAGTGCTATGAATATTTTTGTGTATCCCTAGAGTTTATTTTGTTTAGGATTAATCCTTCGCTCAATCTGCTTTTTCTCTAATTCCTCTTTCCCTCCTTCACCCCTTTTCCTCCTATTTCCCTGTTGAATGAAATATATTTCTGTATCCAGCTGTGTGTATATGTGTATTCTTCCTTCTTTTGACCAGTTTAGAGGAGAATAAGGTTCAAGTGTCAGGTGTTCACCTTCCTTCCTCCTTGTTTGTATAGATGTCTACTTGTGTACCCTGGTTATGTGAGATAATTTCCCCTAACCATCCTTTCCCTTCTCCCCCCTCCTCACTCCTGCCCGTGTGTTCCTCTCTCTCTTTTTATTCTTCTCTTAATATCATCAAGACATAATAGAACTACTCTTGGGCCTTGTCTAATTGTACTTCCTCTATGAACCCTGATGATGGTAAAGTTCAAAGGAGGCTCACATCTCCTCAATTTGAATATAAGCAGTCTATCTCTATTTAGGCCTTTATGTTTGTTCATTCATGTTTGCCTTTTTGTTTGTCTTCATTCCTGTGTTTGACCTTCATAGTTTTTCCACAACTCTGGTGTGGGCTTTTCATGCTTGAAAGTCCTCTATTTTATTAAAGGTCCAGTTTTTCCTCTGTATTCTCAGTGTTGCTGGATAAGTTATTCTTGAATGTAAGACCATATCCTTTGCCTTATGGAATATCATATTCTAAGTTCTCCACTCCTTTATAGTGGTGGCTGCTAAATTGTGTGTGATCCTGGCTGTGGCTCCTTGGTACTTGAATTTGTTCTTTCAGGCTGTTTGGAATATTTTTTCTTTGACCTGAAAAGTCAAGATTTTGGCTCTGATGTTCCTGGAGGTTTTTGTTTGGGTTTGTTTTAGGAACTGACTGGTGGATTCTTTCTATTTCCAGTTTGTTCTCTGGTTCCAAGAGATCTGGGCAGTTTTCTTTGAAGATTTCTTGAAATGTGATGTCTAGGTTCTTTTTTTGGTCATGACATTCAGATAGTCTAGTGATTCTTAATTTTTTTTCCCTCGATATGTTTTTCAGGTCAGTTGTTTTTGCTGTGAGATACTTTAAAATTTCTTCTATTTTTCAGCCTTTTAACTTTGTTATGTGTTGTTGCCCTTTGAAGTCATTGGCTTCTATTTGGCCTATCTTAATTTTCAGAGAGTTTGTTGCTTGGACAAAGTTTTCTATTTCTTGTCCTGAGCTGTTAATTCCCTTTCTAATTCTTTCTTCCATGGCTTTCATTTCTTTTCCATTTTTTCCTCTCATTCTATTTATAAAAAAAATTTCAGACTTTTTTTTTTAATGCTTGCTTCATTTCTTCCAGGAATTCTAGTTGAGTTTGTTCTCATGCTGAGTTTTTCTCTGAGACTTTGCTTGTAGATGTTTCAGAGTCATTCTCTTTTCTGTTTGTATCTTGAATATCTCTGCCAATCATTGTGGTGGGTTCTTTTTTGTTTGCTCATTCTTCCATCCTACTTCATGATTTCTAACTTGATATTAAGGCTGGGCTCTGCCACTTTTCTGGAGAAAAGGTCTGGGCTGATCTTTTTTTTTATTTTAATTTTAATTTTTTTTTTTAATTTTTAGTTTTCAACATTTACTTCCACAAGATTTTGAGTTCCAAATTTTCACCCCATCTCGCCCCTCCCCCCACCCCAAGATGGCATGCATTCTGAATACCCCTTCCCCTAGTCTGCTTTCCCTGCTATCTCTCCCCCCCCAACTTCCCCTTCTATTTTCCTGTAGGGCAGGATAGATTTCTGTACCCCATTTCCTGTATTTCTTATTTCCCAGTTGCATGTGAAAACATTTTTTTTTAAACATGTGTTTTTTTAAACTTTGGGTTCCAAATTTTCTCCCTTCCTCCCTCCCCACACACCCTCATTGAAAAGGCAAGCAACTCAATATAGGCTATACTTGTGCAGTTATGCAAAACACTTCCATAATAGACATGCTGTGAAAAACTAACTCTATTTCCCTTAATCCTATCCTGCCCCCCCATTTATTCTATTCTTTCTTTTGACCCTGTCCTTCCTCAGAAGTATTTGCTTCTGATTAGCTACCCTTTTCCAATCTGCTCTCCTCTCTATTATCCCCCTACTCTCTTGTCCTCTTCCCCTCCTATTTTCCTGTAGGGTAAGACAGATTTCCATACCCAATTGAGTGTGTGTGTTATACCCTCCTTAAGTCAAATTCTATGAGAATAAGATTTACTCATTTCCTCTCACCTTCCCCCAGTTCCCCTCCACTGTAAGAGCCTTTTCTTTTCTTTTTTTTTTTGTGAGATAATTTACCCCGTCTACCTTTCCCTTTCTCGTTCTCCTAGTATAATCCTTTCTCACCCCTTAATTTTATTCTCCATATATGACCCCTTCATCTTCAACTCACCCTGTGCCCTCTATCTATCTATCTATCCATCTATCTATCTATCTATACACACATATATATATATATACACATATACATATACATATACATATACATATACACACACATACATATAATTTTTTCCTCTCCAAGTACCCTAATACTGACAAAGGTCTCATGAGTTACAAATATCATCTTTCCATGCAGGAATGTAAACAGTTCAACCTTAATAAGTCTCTTATGATTTCTCTTTCCTGTTTACCTCTTCATTTTCCACTTGAGTCTTATATTGGAAAGTCATATTTTCTATTCAGCTCTGGTCTTATCATCAAGAATGCTTGAAAGTCCTCTATTTCACTGAATGACCATTTTTTCCCTTGAAGGATTATACTCAGTTTTGCTGGGTAGGTGATTCTTGGTTGTAATCCTATCTCCTTTGCCCTCCAGAATATTATATTCCATGCCCTGCAGTCTCTTAATGTAGAAGCA